TTGTCCCTGTGGACATGCTGGCAAGCTTCCACAGTCTCTAGTCATGGGGGTGGTGTAAACTCTGGGGTCCTGTTCCAATCGCTATCATCCCTTCCTGAAACCTGGACTAGAACATGTTTGTGGGTGGGGGAGGCACCTTCCCGAGCTGGGTGGGCACAGCCTCTAAAGTTCTCTTCTTTCCCCACAGGCATCAGCAATAACCAGCCCAATCAGATGCACCTGAACTCTGCTGCTGCCCAGAGCCCCATGGGCATGAACTTGCCAGGCCAGCAGCCCCTGTCCCACGAGCCCCCACCTACTATGTTGCCCTCCCCTACCCCTCTGGGGTCCAACATTCCACTGCACCCCAATGCACAGGGGACAGGGGGCCCTTCTCAAAACTCAATGATGATGGCCCCAGGAGGCCCAGACTCCTTAAATACCCCTTGTGGCCCTGTGCCCAGCTCCTCCCAGATGATGCCCTTTCCTCCTCGGCTACAGCAGCCCCATGGTGCCATGGCCCCCACTGGGGGTGGGGGCGGGGGGCCTGGCCTACAGCAGCACTACCCCTCAGGCATGCCCCTGCCCCCGGAGGACCTGCCCAACCAGCCACCTGGTCCCATACCCCCCCAGCAGCACCTGATGGGCAAAGGCATGGCTGGCCGCATGGGCGATGCGTACCCACCTGGGGTGCTCCCCGGAGTGGCATCTGTACTGAACGACCCAGAACTGAGTGAGGTGATCCGGCCCACCCCTACCGGCATTCCTGAGTTCGACTTGTCCAGGATCATCCCCTCTGAGAAGCCAAGCAGCACCCTCCAGTACTTCCCCAAGAGCGAGAGCCAGCCCCCCAAGGCCCAGCCCCCCAACCTGCATCTCATGAACCTGCAGAACATGATGGCGGAGCAGACCCCCTCTCGGCCCCCCAACCTCCAGGGCCAACAGGGGGTTCAGCGGGGGCTCAGCATGTCCATGTGCCACCCTGGACAGATGTCCTTGCTGGGCAGGACAGGTGTGCCCCCACAGCAGGGCATGGTGCCCCACGGCCTGCACCAAGGGGTCATGTCCCCACCACAAGGCCTCATGACCCAGCAGAATTTTATGCTGATGAAGCAGCGGGGAGTGGGGGGCGAGGTCTATACCCAGCCTCCCCACATGTTATCCCCACAGGGCTCCCTCATGGGCCCCCCACCCCAGCAGAACCTCATGGTGTCCCACCCTCTGCGGCAGCGCAGTGTGTCTCTGGACAGCCAAATGGGCTACCTCCCAGCGCCGGGCGGCATGGCCAATCTACCCTTCTAGCAGGCCCCTCAAGGGGCTGGGGCTGGGGATACTGAGAATACGTTGACTTTAAGAAGTTTTTTTCCTCCAGTGTTGGAATGGATGGCCTGGGTCCAGGGGTAGGGTGGAGGGGTGGGAGGGGGCTCGTGTGGGGAGTGGCATTTGTGGAAACCTGATGTGCTGGCAGCTTGCGGGAGAGGCAAGAGTCGGGTGGGGAGTTGGAATTGGGTTTGACCAGGACGGCCCCTCCCCCACCCTTCCTGTTCCTGTGGGGCTTCTATTTCCCTCTGTCTTCCTACTCCCCGTTTTCAGCTATGTTTTGGGGGCCCTTGGGGAGAGAGGAAGGAGAGGAGGGGTCTTCCATCTTCTGTCCCTTTGGAACTGTCACCTCATTGGTGCTCCAGGTCCACTGTCCCCTCCCAGTTTCTCTGCTTTCTCCCGCCCCCTGTCTTCATTTCCTCTCCTGCTGACCTGGCTGACCTCCTCTCCCACGCCCCCTGCAGGCAGCTGGCCAGATGGGCAGGTGCCAGCGGAGCTGTAAATAGAGCTGCGCTTTAGTGCCGGTTTGTGCGTGTGCCGTATTTCTGTGTTTTGATAGAAGTCACACACAAAAAAGAAAAAATTAAAAAAAAAAACCCACAAAAAAAACCTTCCCCCTCCTCCAAATGATCGCTCCCACCATTCGCCTGGACCCAGAGACCTAGAGTCCTCTGCACCCTCCATATGCCCCACCCATCAACTGAGGTCAGACCATCTAGGCTAGGCTTCCGTTCGGTGAGCCTGGGAGGACTGAGGCCTCCTCCCTCCCCCTGCTTTGGCCGCCTGTCTGCTGCTGAGTGAATTCCGGAGAGCAGGGGTGCACTTGAGCGTGTGTTTACCCACACCAGTGACATAGGGCCCCTGCCCGGATGCCTCTGCTGCTACATCTTAGCCAGAACTTGAAGCCCTTTGTCCCCTGGGCAGGTGTGACCCCTTTGACTGGAGCTATGGAAGGGTTAGCACGTGTGACTGCGGCCTATGACTTCAGTGGTCTCGGGCCAGGTAACCCCACAGGGCACAGACTCTTCTAGAAACCACCACTTGCTTCTCACCAAAGAAGGAAGGGACAGAGTTTGGCTGAGTCAGTCAGTCTCCCTCCAACCTCCACCCCTAGCATGGAGTGAGGAAAGGCAGTGTCGGGGAGAACATCCTGCTGCCTGTCTACTCTGGCAAGGTCTTTCTGCCCAGGGTTCAGGGCCATGTACCAGATCTGTCTCTGCCTGCCTAGGCACAGCCACTGCCTCCCTGTTACTTCCCAGGAGAGCCCCTCACCCACCGCTGGTCAGACTGAAGCCATACAGGAATGGGTGTTTTATCTCCCGTGGCCCCAGGAGTAAAATACTTCTCCTTTCCTCATTTCCTTTTTCCTGCCTTTAAGGTGGCGGGCAGCTCCTTGGCCAAGGCCTTCCTGCCCTGCCTCCAGGGCCAAGGGCCATTCTAGACAGGGTGACTTTTACCGGGACCCTGTCCCCAGCCTTCCTGACCTGCAGGGCAGCTGTAATACAAAGGGAATTTGTGTCCACTTCTCCCAGTCTGGTGCTGTCCATTGTCAGCCGGGTCAGGCACCGCTCCCCTTCAGAGCTGGCTGCAGGCCCCTGGCTTCCCTCGCCCCTCCCAGGGACCAGAGCCAAGGTCTCTGTTGAGAGGTGGGTGGAAACCTGTCCTCTTTCCTGCCAGACACTCTGCCCTCCCTGCTTCCATCTGGGCCTTGTGCCCCCCACCCATGTTCCTAGCCTATCCAAATGGTCTAATTGCCCTGCTCTGAGGAGAGAGCACAGGCCACAAAGGGCCCATTGTCCCCTTCTGGTGTCCTTCCCACCTCTACCACTAGCTTCCCAAGGTGATCTCCACAGGCCAGCCTTCTCCTCTCCATCCATGGCCATACCCCAGCCATTTTGTACCATTATATAAATATATATATATAAATATAAATATATAAATACAATATGTGAAGACATCTTCTTGGTTTTTATTTTGAAACACTTTTTAGGCTTGCTCTGGGGGTCTTTGTGCTGCCTGTACTGTATTGACCTGTTTTATAGGTGCCTTTTTATTAAAAAGAAAATTCAAAAATGTAATCTCTTGCCTTTTTGTTTCTGTGTCTGGTTTCTCTGCTGCCGAACTGGCTGTCGGATTCTGGGAACAGAAAAGAGAATCCCAAGATGTCTCCAGTTTGCAGTGAGGGTACAGTCTCTGCAACTATAGAACTGATTTCCCTAGTGGGGTTCCCCAGAGAGCTTGTCTGACTGGCTTGAGTGGTACCCGGCAACCCAGCTTCCCCCAACCCCCCTTCCCTCCTAAATCAGTGGCCTGGAGGAAGAGGAGCTCAGAATTGCCTGCTAGGCTTCCCCTAAGCAGGTGTGGAGCAGCTTCCTCTGGTTCCATTTGAGTAGTACCCTCCCAGGGGCACTGCACCTCCTTCCTGGGGCTCGGGGACTTCCCTGCTCCGGTTGGCTTCTCACACTGCCCTCCCCCTGCCCTCCTCCCTCTCCCGCCTTAGAAGACAAGGATCTGTTTCCATTTTCTTTTTCCCCCCATTTTATTCATTTATTTATCTATTTATTTTTGTTTTTTGAGACAGGGTTTCTCTGTATAACAGCCCTAACTGTCCTGGAACTCGCTCTGTAGACCTCAAACTCACAGAGATCTCCTACCTCTGCCTTCTGAGTGCTGGAATTAAAGGTATGTGCCACCAGGCCCAGTCAGTCTTCATTTTCTTAGCTAAACGCCACCTCTTCTGAGGCTAGAACCCCTTTGCTCTTTCACTTTCCCTGGGTCCTGAGGATTACAGCAGGAGAGAAAAGTTGGTTGGCCTCCTTCCCCATCAGTGCCCCCAAACCACTAGGGCCCTGGATCTTATCTCCCTGCCAGTCGGGAAGCTTTGGTCTCTGGGCAGAGAAGACAGCTGGGTTTCAGTTTTACTTGCTCCTCTTTGGAGCCTGGAGCCAAAGTGTCTTTCCATTTCTCCACTATACTGCTTGCCTGCTGGCTTGTCCCTCTACTCTTCTTAGGGCACTGGCTAGTCTCCGGGGCCTTCTGGAGTCTGTCCTTGGTCTGTAGTCCAAGATCCAGTAACATGGGGCCGACCCAATGCTGGTTTGGTTGGAGCGAGACAGCTGCCTAAAGTAGATCAGTCTCAGCTTCCTGTTTGCTCAAGAGAACAGCAGGGTTGAAGGGCTGGCACAAAGCTTGTGTTTTGGAGACAGGCACGGTAAGGGCATGCTTTGCTGCCAGCTGGCTATTCCTTGGTGGAACAGAAGTGGTGGGGAGCTGTGGCATGCGGCAACCTTTTAGATGCTGGAGTGCATTGTGGGAGGAGATCCTGAGGTCCATGACCAGAGGGAGATGAGACTGTAGGTGCCACCGGCCCAGTGGTTTTCCCTATGGCCGGGGAGAAGTAAAGCTGAGTCTCACATTTGGCTGGTTAGGATGAGAGGTATGTGGAGTGCTCTTAGCCAAGGTGATGCAGACAGTCCAGAGAGCCCTTGCTCTGCCTTTGGGCTGCTTTTGCCTCCCAGGGCTCTCGGTTAGCCTGACGGCTGGCAAAAGAGTTTAGGAACATTCTAGAGAGAGTTCTCTAGCTGTCCCCTCTGGGGACATGGCCCAAACAAACTCTTAGAACCCCGGGTTTTGTTGACCAGGTTTCTAGCATCACTCCAGGCTACCAAGGCAAACAGAAACGGAAAGGGGGTTGTGGAAGTTCTGGCATCTAGAAGGTGGTGAGAGAGGTGGCATTCTCTGACTCAGAGAGACTGCTCTTGCGCCAGCTGGGGAAAACTTGGCAAAGGGAGGCTGGGCCAGCACAGCCCAACTTCGTCAGAAGCCTAGACAAGTCACTGCGGAACTTGACACCAGCGAAGGTGTAGAGCATGGGATTGAGACAGCAGTGGGCCAGGCCCAGGAATTCACACACGGTGATGGCCACAGAGAGATAGCCACTCAGTTCACAGCTGCTGTCCACAGCCTTCAGTCTCTCCAGTGTGTCTAGGAAAATGACAACGTGGTAAGGTGACCAGCAAAGAAAGAAAATACTTGTCACTAGGATGGCCACCCTGACTGCTTTCTGCCGCTGAGGGCGCCGCTGGGCCTGACAGAGTCTGTGTATCACCCCCACATAACACCAACCCATCACCAGCATTGGTAGCAGGAAGCCCCCAATGTGGTAGAGGAAACGGGAGGTGAACCAGGCTTTGGTTTCAGCTTCGTTCTCTTGAGAGAAGGTGCACTGTGGCAGGGAGTCATTGTTATGAGGTTGGCCGACCTTGGCAAAGAGGACTTCTGGCAAGGCAAACAGGAAGCCGGCCAGCCAAATGGTGGCGCAGGTGATGTGGATGGAGAAGAGGCGGCGGCGGCGGTAGGCGTGGACAGCGTGGACGATGGCCAGGTAACGGTCTACGGCTATGCAGGCCAGCAGCAGGCTGCTGCAGTAGAAATTGATTTTGTGCAGCGCGATCACAACTTTGCAGAGCACGGTCCCTAGGACCCAGCCCACAGAGCCCTCAGCCACTGCAAAAGGCAGGATAAAGACCAGGAGGAGGTCAGCTACCGCCAGGTGGAACAGGAAGGTCTCGGTCGAGCTTCGAGTGTGCCGGTGCCGCTCCAGGATCACAAGCACCAGGATGTTTCCCATCATCCCCAGGAGGAAGATGAGGCTGTAGGCCACAGGCATGAAGATTGCCTTGAAGGAGGTCAGGAGGGGTCCCTCCACTGTGGAACAGAACTGACTTTCCTGTGAGGGGATCTCCGTGCTGCTATTGTAGATGGCCCATTCCTTGTACTGCAAAGACAAAGAGAAAGAAAAATAAGAAACGATAGCCCTATCCTTTCTCTCTGAGAGGAAACTCTCTGGGATGTTTCCTGTCCTAAGGCTAACTGCTTCTTGTCTGCATTATTCCATTTTCCCTTGGTGTATCCTTGAACAGATCTCACCATCTTTTCCTTCGTCCCTCCCTCCCTCCCACTCTCCCTTCCATTATTATTCTTAGACAGGATTTCCCTATTTATCCCTAGGGATATATGTGGAATTTACTGTGTAGACCAGGTTGGCCTCAGATTTGGGTGGTTCTTCTGCCTCTGACTGCTGAGTGCTTGAGGTATGATCTTTCTCTTTCTCTTTTTTTGTAATCTAACTCCTATTTTACAGATGCCTCTTGCTTAAGAGGAGGCTTGATTGAAGGCACATTTGCCTGCCTCCAGAGCCACTACCTCTGCCACTGAGCCAACACTACCTAAGCGTCCCTGCAAAACCTGCTGGGGGCGGGGCAGAGACCGAGTTTCCAATTACTTCCCAACCAGAGAGAAAACTCCCTAGGCGCAGGAATCCAGCAGAGGCAAAAAATGAGTCACAGACAGGGAGACCAGGCGCAGGGAAGGAAGGGAGCCTGTTCTGAGTGGAAAAGAAGGGGGCGTGCCTGTTACATCTCTGGAACTTGCTACCTCCACATCCTCCCCGCCCTCTGTCGCCGCCCTCCATCAGCCGGGCTCTCAGGTTGTTTGCCTGCTAACCACAAAGGAAGACAGAGTGCCTGTTTTCATTCCTTTCACTCACAGCTGCTCTGCACCTGCTGTTCCTCACCTCCCCTCTCTGTTCTTCCTGCCTTCCCCTCTTCGACCTCCTCCCAGCGCAAAACCAATTACACCCACCCAACAATGGGTTCAAAAGATAGTGATGGAACAAACGATGAGCCCCAGGGAGGCCAGAGACAGTGGGTGGTCAGTCCCCTAGGCTGGGGAAATTCATACTGACCCTCTCTCAGGAGAGTGGGTCTCCTGCAAGCAGTAATGGCTTCACCCGTTACCTCAGAGCTTTCTTGCCACCCAGGCACCCTAATTGTAGGTCACACACTCACTTCCATGGGTAAACCTATTCCTCATCTTGGTCTTTTGGTCTCTGGAGCAGGTGGTTCTTTAAGAAGCAATGGGGACACGTGGTGCGATGGTGATGCTATCTACCACCCTCTTCAGTGTCTCCTTCTCCCGCCATTACCTCAGCACCACCCTTCATCCGATCTCTCTATTAATCCTTTTTTAAAAAAAAATATTACCGGGCGGAGGTGACGGATACCTTTAATCTCAGCACTAGGGAGGCAGAGGCAGGCAGATCTCTATGAGCTTGAGGCTGGCCTGGTCTACAAGAACTAGTTCCAGGACAGGCTCCAAAGCTACAGAAAAACCCTGTCTCCCAAAAAAAAAAAATAAAATAAAAATTTTATTTTGTGTGTATGGGTATTTTGCCTGCATGTATGTATATGTAGCATGTGTGTGCCTGGTGCCCTTAGAGGTCAGAAGAGGGCATTGGCTCCCCTGACACGAGTTATAAATGGTGTGACTTCACCATGGGGGTGCTGGGAACTGATCCCCTGTCCTCTGCAAGAGCAGCCAGTGCTCGTAACCACACAGCCATCTCTGCAACCCTCCAGGTCCTTTTCTTGTTGGTTTGCTTGTTTTTGTGTTTCAAGACAGGATTTTTCTGTAGCTTTGGAACCTGTCTTGGAACTAGCTCTTGTAGACCAGGCTGACCTCAAATTCACTGAGATTCGCCCGCCTCTGCCTCCCAAATGCTGGGATTAAAGGACAATTAGGGCTGTTACACGGAGAAACCCTGTCTTAACCCCCCCCCCCAAAGTTGTCTTTTTGTCTTTGTCTATTTTTCCTAATTTCATATTCAATAATAAAGTCATTTATAAAAAGCCATTTTTGTGATAATGTCTGTCAGCAGAAAGATGGGTCAAGTCAAGCTTCACACAGCAGAATGTAGCATGTACTTGGGAGAAAATTAAGTTTACGGTGTGTCTGTTCTCTTAGGGAAAGACTTTGAACACACATGGCTCAATTTCAGAACCAATGACAGGGCATCCATACAGCACAAAGGTCACAGAAGTACCTGGGGCTAGGATTCCCAGCTCCTCTCCTTGCCTTTAAACTAGAGAGCTTCACTTTTGACTCCATGGTTTAAACAAACAAACAAACCACAGAGCTCGGCTAGGCATGGTGACATATGCATTGGGGAGACAGGAGAGAGGATCAGGAGATCAAGGGTGCTTTCGTATACATTAGTTCCAGGCTAGCCTGTGCTGCTTGGGTCCCTATAACAAACAAACAAACAAGGCTGTCCATTTCTGGAATAGAGCACTTGCCCCCCATGGGCAAAACCAGAGTATGAGGAAAACGGCCCTACTCCTCACTAGGATATAGTGGTCCTGTGAAATGGGGTCTGGATGCCCCAGAGAGAAGCCTTACATTCCTCTAAAAAGGGCTGAGGGTGTCTCTCAGAGGCAGGATGCTTACCTAGCATATACAGATCCCTGATTTTGAGCCTTAGCCCTGCAAAAATAAAAATAAAAGTTTCCAAAATGTCTACTCCTTTGATGTGTCAAACTGTATCAGGTACCCTACGCCTAAGGGATGCATTCTACCAGCTGCCTGCCCGCAACAACCCAGACAGCTTCCTGACACCTTCGCCAAGTTCTTCCTTGTTCAAGTCTGCCTCTCTAAGCCCCTGGCCTTCCTTCGGGGTCCAAGTCAACCAACCCCATCATCCTCCATCCTTCCTAGCCCCTTCTGCTAGGAATCCCTGGCTGCCTAGGGCTCAGGGGGAACTCACATCTCCTTTGCATCTTTCTGTAAATCCTGCCTCTGGGGTCTAACTTAGGTTCCCTGTCCCTAGAGGGATTTGCTTCCAATAGAACAGTGGGACAGAATAGTCGAAAACAGCCTTTTGACTCTGACTCTGCTATAGGAGGTGGAGGGGACACTGTGGGGTGAGCGGTCCTTGTGCAGACAGATGGTGGAGATGTGATGAAGGCCTGGGACAGGGAGGCATCTGGATGCCACTCACCCTGACAGCTGCTGAAGCTGGCCACTCCCCTGTCCAGGGAAGCGTGTGGGTCTAGCTGGTCTGGATGATGACTGTTCAAGTTTTCACCTTACAAAGCCTCTAGGCTGATCAACTCATTGTTCATTCGAAGTTCAATCAGTGGGACATTTCCATGGGGGCAGGTTTAGGGGGTGAGTGCCTACCTCTTCCTCCCTGCCAAGACGTATTGTTTTGGCAGAGTCTTCAGAGGAGGAGAACATGGGAGGAAGCTGGTTTGGTACCTATCAAAGGGAGGCGTCAAACAGTTTGATTTGGAGCTCAAGAGTGTTAAAGCCACTTCCTACCACGCGTGCGCGGGCGCTCCTCTCCTCTAGACCATGGAGAGAAACCATAAGGTTAGGTTGCCTCTGGCCTGGTGGAAAGACGGAGAATGAGATATCCACAACACAGTGGGGCACATACTGTCAAAGGGAGCTGCCTGGTTCCCGCTCAGGGAGAGCACAGGGTCATCCTTTGCTATAGAAGTGGCAGAAAGCCTCATATGTACCCCACTGTGACGGCAGCACACACACTACACAAATGTGCCCAGAGGGACCACAGTGCCAGGCTTCACAGGCAAGCACCCAACAGAGCACAGACAGCTTACAAGCTATGGGGACACACGCCCCATCAGAAAACGTGCTGCCTGGAACGAAGGCAGGTGTGAGTTGACAGGAACGCCCTGAGAACTCCGGGGCAGGAGGATGCCTAGCTGGTCCTGGTGTTAGGGATGGGGTAGGCAGAAGAGGTCAAGAGATGCCAAGTGCTTCACCCATGATGGGATCCACAGATGGTCCTCTTTCTACCCGTATTTTCTCTAAGCCAAGACGCTGCTTTGCTGCCGTGAGCCCTCTAGCAGGCAGTTCTGCTAGGGCAGCCGCTCTCAACCTGTGGGTCGAGACCCCTTGGGAAATGGAACAGCCTTTACATAGGGGTCACATATTAGATATCCTGCATATCAGCTATTTACATTACAACTCTTAACAGTAGCGAAATTCCAGTGATGAGGTAGCAATGAAAATAATTTTATGGTTGGGGTCACCACAACATGAGGGATTGTATTAAAGGGTGGTAGCATTAGGAAGGTTGAGAACCGCTGTGCTAGGGTTTACTGACAGGATTTCTCTGAGAGCAGGTAGGGGGACATTCCTCAAGGCTCCAAGCTGGATTTTCCTAGCACCCAACCCTGCTTTGGATGGGGCATGACTGGGAACATTTTTTTTTTTTTTGAGACAGGATTTCTCTGTAGTTTTGGAGCCTGTCCTGGAACTAGCTCTTGTAGACCAGACACACACACACACACACACACACACACACACACACACACTTGTCTTGGGCAATGGATCATGGGAAAAAAGACTTGGAAGTTTGTTGGCTGACAGACGGGTCACTAGTGAAAAGGCCGGCAGAAGGCTGTCTTTGTCCTCTAGATGAGGGGAGAGAAGCCTTCCCCAGGTTGGTTACTTCTGTTTGGAAAACCCTGGCCTGGAATAGCATTTCCTGGTGCTAGGAAGGTGGGACACACACAGAGAAGCCTGAAGTCCTTGAACTGTCTTCAAGGATAGGGAAGGGCCCTGGGTTGGGAGGACAGGCAGGGCTGGACTCTGACGTGAGCCTCAGGTGTAGACCAGGAGAAATGAACAGTCAGTCCAGCCAAAGGAGGGACAGCTCTGTAAGCACGACTGTTCAGCAATGGGATGTCTTTGAGTTCAAGCGCAAGGGGGAAATTCCTGCCTCAGGAAAGAGGCTGGACCACTTCTGCCGCTCACCAATGCTCTGGAAGTCAGTCAAGCCCTGCCATTCACCACCCCAGCAGGCTCCACTTCTCTAGCCTGCCCTGCAGCTGGTGAACGCCCCAGGCTACCCCAGTTCCTAGCCCCGAGGAGCCAGCAGACCTTCCTGCCCAGGACTCCTCTCCTCAG